TTTGGGAGGGAGTAACAGCAATTTTGAGTATTTTAATTAAAGTACAGGCAACGCCGAATCGCCAACGATGCTGCTAGTAAGCACACGTTGCGACTATGCTTCTTTCGCATTGTGCATTTTGCATTTCAGAAGTATAAGTTAATAACGTTCTCATACGATACTAAAAAAATCGTGCAGGCCACTGATATACACAACTACTAACTGTTGCTAGTTTGTTAATAGCGAACGGAAATTACTTGCTATTAGCATCATTGGCACCTAACAGTAGAGTCAGCAGCAACACAAAAATAACAAAGAAAAAAGCTGTTGGATGCTTTCAGCGAACAAAGTATGATCGACCGGCATTGTAGTATTTAGGAGAAGCTGCATTTCGAGGTCATTGCAGTGTGAAACGTGCCTTAACAAAGGGAAGGTTGCAGCAAAACTAAACTCAGATCCTAAAACACACGCAACTACACATACACGCACATCCGAAGTATCCGAGCCCGGTACCAAATTAAGGCCGGGCGTCCTCCACCACTATACAAAAGTTTTCAAATGTTTAAACGAATTTCCAACGTTATCACAACATACTTGCAGTGACTGCTTTTGAAATATACTAAGAAGCAGGGGCCGAACATAACAGGTATTGATGATAATTGTCATGGAAAATTTCAGCATGAAGGAAATGTTCTACAACTAAGTTATCGATCGATTTCCTTTTTCACCAAGATTGAAATTTGAAAATAAATTTTTATTTGCAATTTTTATGCAAAATTAAAAAAAAAATAACAATTATTTTTGCTTTTTATTAGAATTTATAATAGCAATGTCAATATTAAATAATCAAATACATAAACTTAACAAAATATTATAATTTGTATCTTTCAATTAAATTTTAGGAAAAAAATTCGGGCCTCTTTGAAAATACGAACCCGGGGGAAAACACTGCTGATCACCCACTCTGTAGTCGCGCCTGCACACATACATGTACGATAACTGGTACTAGCATTAGCTGGTGGTCATCGCTCGACACTCTTTCGACACTTTCGAAATTTGTCTATGAATTCTTTGACGGGCTCGCATCTACATAGTGTTTGCGTTCGCCAACTACAGTAGCAACCAGCCAACTATACACCAATTTCATTTATATGCTAATAAGTGTTTCTGTTATTATTCCTATGTTTAGCTGATGTTAACTAGACAATTCCATTGACTTGCCACGCAGAACACATACATATGTATGTACATACAAAACAAGTCATTAAAACATCAAATACTCCCGCCCCCCACTCGTTTGCCCTTTGCCTGCTGCACCACTGTCACGCTGCATATATTGTCTGTTGACATTTGCTATTGTTTTTGCCTCCTTTGGCCTTTCAACAAACAGCTTGTTGCATATTCAGACGCTGAAATTTTCTTCTGAAAATTTCAGTATATACTAGAAGAGTGATGTCAGCAATAAAAGCAATAATAATAACAAAACAAAAGCAGCATCAAAAACGATTAGTCGCCACTATTGACAGCAGCTATGGGTGGCTGTGTGGCTGGCTAGCTGGCTGCCTGGTTGGTTGGCTCGTACAAAAATGTGTGTTGTATGCAAAAAATTTAAAGCTACTTTCAAGAGTAACGATTTAAAATTGCTACCAAAGTCATTAATGTCTGTCTGTGTGTCCTGCGTATAGGTATGTGTGTGTGTATTTATGTATCGCTATTGAGTGGCTCCTAGCACTAGTAATTTTAGTTTTGCATAGTCAATAGTCGCTAGCTTCTGCTCTGGTTTTTGTTACTCGTATTAGTGTTGTATTTTTTCTCCTGCTGTCTGATAGTGCACTCAGTTGCGCTCTTACGGGTACTCACCAGCTCTGTCGTCCGCCATAAGCCAAGTGCTGTTCATTTCACCTTTTCACATTTTCACCTTTCCAGCCATTCGCCATTGTTGCCTCTGCTATTGCATTTTAAAATCATAGCACGTCTTTTGGCGTTTTACCCTCGTGTATTTTCCAATAACCATTTGTTGTTCATTTATTTGCATTTTAATGACAACCAAAGCAACTTTGAGTGGCGAGGTTAATAGCTTTTGCTGCTTTTGCTGCTTTATACTCGCCCTTGGAGAAAATCTTCGTAAAATATTCATGCTAAGCGTGTGAAATGGCTTTGTAGGTGTAAATAGCCTTTGACGGAGATTGAAAGCGCTTTATTTTAATTACGATTTAATGAATGGATTACCACAGTATTTGATTTTGTGGATATCTGAATATAAATATTCAAATTGTAGTTATCTTTATTGCTTAAGTGAGTAATTTGGATTTTTAGGATGCCAGCGCTAGATAGCATCCATGTACATATTTTCTCCCTTATTTTTCAAAATTTTTTTTTTTTTAAACCTACAAAAAATAAAATGTATCTTCTCTCAATCGAAATCAATGCAGTGTATAGAAACTTAGATAGAAAATTATATATGTACATATGTATGTATGTAGGTTAGACTGGATCGGGAAAAAATGGAAATATTCAAGAGTGATAGAAAACTAGATTGCGCATTTCCGGCGGCGATGTCATTTCTAGAAAGAAGTAAACAAAGCCGAATAGAAGGATAGAAAAATTCACAAGGACAATTTTTTGATAGGAAACATATTTCAATTGCTTCAAATTGTGAAAATATATGATTTGTAAAAGGAGTTAATAAAGAAACTGTGAAAAAATGGTGATTTTAGTGAAAATATTAGTGAGTTTCAGTGTATTTAAAGTTTTTGAGGCGTGATTTATTTTTAAATGAGAATTGTAACACTCAGCAAACCCACAGCAGCGGTCCGCGGAATGCGTCACCTTCTGTTCGCTACACCGCACAGTGGAGGAGCTTCATATAAAATGTGGCAAAAAGTAGTAAATGTGCTCCGTTTTTTCTGTAAATTGTATTGTGGTGTACTTTTGCCTAGGAATGAATAAATATGAAAAATGGTTGAATTTAGCGGACTGCCACACCCACTACGCTAGGGGCGGATATAGTAAATTGTATCCAAATTCAATGAAATTCCGTTTGTAACTTAGACTGGCCTAGGAAGATATAAATCTGAAAGCTGAGAAAAATAGGTCAATTGCCACGCCCACCAGCCATCCGTATTCTGGATTCTAATGTGGCAAGGACTAGTAGTGATGTTTCAAATTAGCAAAACATTGGTGGACGGTCTATTTTTGCATTAAAACCCCGAGATATATAACAAATTGTGTAGATTGGCGACCAGCCACGCCCCCTATCTTCTTACTAGTGGGCGGGAATGGGAAATGTTATGTGACAGTTGACCGATTTTCACTATGTTTCAGATATATGTCCTCCCAGCTTAATCAAAGTCACAAACCGAATTTCATTGGAATCGGATAACATTTACCATATCCGCCCACTAGTGTACGACAATTTTTACGAGTTTTCAATATTTTTCTTTCCTTAGCTAAAGTGGTTCAAATAGCAAATTTTAGCGAAATCAGGAAACGTTTACTAACTACCTTTTCCTGCAACTTTTATAGGGATCCGCCAGTGTGAAGCGTTCACTCTGTGGAATATTGACGACATGGACGCAAGCGGACGTAGCTGAAATTTATCTTGCTATTAGTTTAAAGTGTACAAAATGGCACCACAAGCTACTTATACTCCCCAGAAAAACACTGAAAATGCATAATATCACAGAAATGTTCTTAACTCAGTAAGGACTGGGTAAAATTATGAGGACATGATTTGGAGCCACTCTTGCATACCATTCAAATTTATATTGAAGATGACGACACATGCAGATGCAATCGGTCCTTCTAATACCATTTCTGAGCCGGTAAAATGCGTATTCCAATTCTAACGTAAAAATTCGATTCATACAACCCCGACTTCCTGTGTCCTTTGATAATTGCTAGAGTAGTTTTTCTTTGGAAAAAGCTCTTAAAACCTGCTAGTAGACATGTTAAGAATCGAGTCAAACACTTTGTTGGATATTTCCACACATTTCGAAATTAGGACTTTCTGCCACTCTCAGACCACTGTGCACTGTGGCAATTACTTACCTACTCAGAGAAGATTTTAGCATCATACACATTTTCATTTTGTTTATTACTTTCACATTTGTAATCCGTTTGTAAAGTGCTATATATATCGTTGCAAGAATACTAACCTTGATCTCCTTAATACCCTATTAACCTAATTATGTACAAGTGTACAAAATTAAATTTCAGCAACCATAAACTGCAAAACTTTTTCAATTATGTATTTCAGCTCGAAATTGGGTTTGTTTTAAGGATAAAAATAGCCCTCTTGAAGTGTATTTTCAACTTAGGGGTAGTAACTAAAACACCATTCCTTCATATATTTAAGAACCACTACGCTGTAGTGCTTTAACTTTTCTTCTTCTTCCATATTTGGCAATATATCCATGCGTAAAACATGTCCAAGCAAGCGCAATCGTACTTTCATCCGCTTAACCCTTTCGTGCCCGATGTTGCCTATAGGCCACATTGACATTTTGGTTTATAAATTTCGCCGTTTGAAATATTTTTTCTAAGGGGTTATTTTAAATGACACTTTGGAATGTTATGAAGTCAAAAAGCTGAATTTCATACCTTAATTATGGAACTAACTAGGTTTTAACATATTTTCGTCGTGACTACTTGTGCGCAGCATAAATGTTGCTGAAAATGGTTCTACAACATTTTAAAAAATACACCAAATAAATTAAATTTTTTCATAAACAAAAGAGTTTAGGTTTTAAAATTTATTAAAGCAAATGAAATGAAATTATAAAATCTTAAAATTTTTTTTTTGTTTTTAGTTTAGAGAGGGGCTCTGATTTACTATTGCCTACCGAGCCCAAAGTAGCACCTTTTTCCAAGACTTTACGTGCGGCCTTTAAATGATAAAACAATTTTTTTTTTGTTTACTTTTAAGGATCCAATTAAGTGTATCAAAATATTTTTTTTTTTGTAATTCCTGAAATGTCTTATCTTATTCTTTGCTTATTTTCTGTATTTCTTTGCAGCTAAAATTTTCCATTTAATGCAAGCATTTAAGGCACTTTCACACACCAGCTCTGTGACAATACTGCGCCAAGCCACCGACCAGCTTCCAGCGAATTATAAGCAAACGAATCAATTGAGCAGCTGTTACGCAGCAGCCAATTACGAGACGCAGAAAAGTAAGTTAGCGAGGCTTGTAAATGTATAAAAACAGAAAATGCATTGATTGGATAGCTCAAAGGCGAAAAGTGAAAAGAAATAGTGAGAACGGAGTGAGGGTAACGAGGAAAATGTATATTTTCAATTTACGATTTAATTTCGCCATTTCGCAGTGCAAAAAGGACATTCATTCACGAGTGTAGGTATGTGTTTGTGCATGAAAGAACTTAAAAATAAGTGCGCGTGTATATCAGCGATGCTGACAGACATAAAGGTGGCGGAGAAAATGAAAGTTATCCGCAAGCAAAAGAAATAAAACCAACAAAAAATCAGAAGAACAAGATTAAAGCAAGGTAAGTAAAATTGTGTGCGAGTGAGCAGAAATAATGTGTGTGTGTGTGTGTGTGAGAGCGTATGGTTGGTCTGGCTGGGAAGCAAAATGCAAGCGGGTGCGCGAAAGTTTTCAAATATGCGAATGCAATGTATAAAGTTTTTTTTTATCGCGAAAAAGTATCCGGTAGTGAATTTTAGTTGCGGGTCGTTTTGTGGGTTTGACGAGGCGTATACGTAACTTTATTGCGTGTGTGTACATATGTACGTATGAATGTAAGTTGATGAAGGCGGAAAATGAAGTGCGCAAAAACACTGAACTGACATTTGAGAACACTAAAAGGTAAATATGTGGAAGATATAAAGGTGTACAAATGGATATTAAAAGCAATAAATATATTGTGGTAATAAAAAAGCAAACAAATAAATGTGAGACAGCAGTTTAACTGCTTGATTGAATGGCGTGGCGATTGATGGGGGAAAAACATACATATGTGTATGACAGTTAGAGCGGATTTAAGTAATTTTTGTGTCCGCATTGTTGTAATTTCACTTTGTATGCTTTCTCATGGCTTTAAATGCAGGTTAGGATAACATTGGCCTTGTTAGTTACAAAGGCTAGATGTCCTAAATGTAGTTAGTAGTTGAGTTGGGCTTAAGCGCAAAGAAAAAATGTGTGTAGGCATTCTATCTTTCAATAAAAACAAAACATTCACATAAAAAAGCTCAAGCCCCGAAGTTATCTTTCGGAGCCTTTACTCGCATAATGAGCTCATTATAAGAACTAAAATAAAATTCATACAATAAAATGAGCCTCAAACCCTAAGAGGTCACAATTTTGTTATTTAATGTGGGTTAAAGCTTTTTGCTCAAAAATGCATTTATGTTACATGGAATTTTAAGGAAAAATTTATAAATTTTTTTTAGGAAATTTTAACCCCTTAAAAAGGGTCTTCTTGAGATTTAATTTTTAAGTGTATACATGTTAGTTAAAATTGCAGATAGCTGGGGAACATTTTACCCAGAAATGACAAGCGGGTAATTTCACTGGTTCGAACCGAAGATAACAAAATCCACCGATGAAACGTTAGCGGATTTTAGGTGTTCATCTAAATTTGGGTTAGGGTCATTATAAATGTATGTAAATGTGAATATATGCTGAATATCACACTAGGTATTAAATGACAAAATGTTTGAATGACAATATTGGCCGTTAAAAAAATACCTGTGCCATTTCGTTATAAAAATAGTCGTTGCGTCTGTTTGCATATGGCATTTTATAAACGTATACATTTTTTTGTCAGTGGATGTGAGGCGAAATCCGTGTAGGAAATAATGAGCTTTATATTAAAATTTAGCAAGAAATTTTTTATTTACACATTTTAACTTGTTAACTCCTCTCATTACGGGGGTACTAACCCTTTTTCGAAGAAGTTCATTGAAAAAAACAGTTAAAGGTTTAAAGGTTTTACAAAAATTTTAAGCTGGAAATTTTACTAGGTGGCATTGAATTTGAAAGAACCCTCTTATCCCACTTGGCTGCGCTTTAGGATATTTTAAAAATTTGAGACAGCTTTATTATACACATATGTAGGTATGTGTGTGAATTTAGAAATAATTTAAACATCGATTTCTTGTCTTTAGAGACATATAGTGGAATATAGCGGGCAATTTTTAAAATTAGATTAACCCTTCCCATTATAGGTCTTTTCGACCCTTATTTGAGGAAGTTAAGTAAAAATGGTAGATAGAAGGTTAAGATGTTTTAAACAAGTGCCAAGCAAAGGACTAACTAAAGCGCATAGAAAAAACTAAAATTCTATATATATTTATAGTGAAAATATCGAGCCCTAACCGCCAAAAATATGTAAGCGACATTTTTTCCAAAATTTCATTTTCGATGCAGAAATACATCTAGATGCTCTAGGAAAATTTCTGCATAAAAAAAAAAACACATTTTGAAAAAAATGTTGTTTACATTTTTTTAGCGGTTAGGGCTCGATATGTTGAAATTTCGAATGCGCATGTAACACTCGCATCTTCGGTTATCAGATTATTTTTTTTTTGTTTCGGTAGTAAAATTCTGCGATTTATATTTGCGTATCCGCCATTTTCATTTCAAAAAAGGGTCAAAAATACCCTCAATATTTAAAGCGTTAAATTTTTGACGGAAACATTTTTGATTTATTCTTAAAATTATATGTAATTAAATTTGTGACCAAAAAGTATGAATTTTGTCCCACTGTTAAAAGAAATTGCGATAAGGTGGAGCGAAATCCTTTTAGGAATTGAGTACCATGAATATGTAGACCGCAGTACTTGCTACAGCGAATCGACTTACATAGGTTGTCGGCGAGAATTATAATAAATATGCTATTAAGAGCGAAAGGCGTCCGAAGTGATCCTACGATTACCATAACTACCCGATCCTACTTTTTTAACTTCATAAACGATATCTAGGAATATGCTCCTAACGATAAGGCAAGTAATCAATATCGGCAACTGTACGAAAGCTCTTCTTCGTATTTAGAAATTCGCATGCATACATAGCGATATATTAACTTCACTATATCCTTTAAATGCGACGTATAAAAACTTGCAACAACCTTCGCTTAACTCGAAGACACTAGCACTTGACTTCAATTGGGGTTACAAGCGCTGATAAAATGTTAACGCTGCTCACCTTTTGTCGTGCCACAGCTGCCACAACGTAACATCATCATCGATAAGCTGCCACGCAGCAATGAGTGCGCCGCCACACCATCGACCAAAAGCTACACTATTTTGGTGCACCATTAAAGATCACAAAAACATCAAAACAAAAAGGCAGAGAACACAAAATAGAAGAGTCAACAAGTTGCAACATTTTGTTTGCTTTAAAAACTTTTCCCCCTTGTTTTAAGTTACTTGTTCGCTACTTTTATTTCACTTCACTATTTTTAAGTTGCTGTTGTTTTTTATGATTAAGGATAGTGGAAAAGTTCTGTTGTGCGCATGGGGGTGTGAAAGAAAAACTCGACAGCAAATCGTCGAGTCGATAAATGAGCTACGGAAATCAATTCAATCAGTGTTGACGTGTCTGTGCACACACACACACACACACACACGCAAGCAAGCTCAAATGAAAATAAGTTGGCTGACAACTATACGCTTGCTTTGTTGGGTGTTCGCTGCTGTGAGAGCGAGCGCGAAGTTACCAAACTTTTTCTTCCGCAAACTACAAATTAGCGCCAAAGTTGTTCCACTGCGCTTTTTCCGCCAATTGTCTCCTCCATTTCTTTTGTGGCAATCAGTGAAACTTCTGCTTTCGTTGCAATCAGCCTACATACACGCATTAAACACCGCACGCTTCAAAATTTACAGTTCTCTCTTCCCCCGTCACTGCTCGCCACTGCTCATCACTCACTCATCACTCAACACTTATCACTTTTCACTCTTTTATACTTCGCTGCCGCGCTCAATCATGTAATTAAAATTCAAATTAAACAGCGCTTTTAACAAACCTCGACAGTTTGGCGAACTTTTTCCGCTGAAGCAACAGTTTAATACCCATTTAATTGTGTTGCTCATACGCCCCGTAGGCCAGAGAATTCGAGTTTGTTTTTCTTTCTCTACGAACACTTTGCACTGCTTATAGCTGCTGCTATTCATGCAGTTTTACATGTTAACAATAAAAGTATGTTGTCATTTTGCATTTGGTTAACCGTTTGACCGTATTTACATTAAGAAACAAAACCAAATAATTAAATATTTGTGATCGAAATTGGTATAAAACTCCAGCCACAAGCTCAGAATGGATATTAATTGAGTTTCTTGGATGCGAACTAGATCGCTTTAAGTCAATTAGCTTTCCTTTTTTCAGTCCTTGTACTCGTAAAATCTCAGAAGCTGCCGTATCTTTATATCAACAACCAAATATTTACTTTTATTTTCTTCCAGCGCTAAGTATTTTGGGGTTTGGCTGGACGTAGCACTTAATTCCACACTTCTCAGGAACTCTAGAACTATTAAAAAGCCACTCAGAATAGATTTAGTTTTTAGTTTTTTTTCCAAAAACTTTACTTCTTCGGATTTAAAATTTTTTTTCTGCGCAATTTCGCAGAACTTCTGCACTTAACCCCGGACTTCTCAGGAACTGTAGAACTATTAAAAAGCTACTCAGAATAATTGAATTTTTATTTTTTTTTCCCAAAAATTTAAATTTTTCCCAAAAATTTGATTTGTTCAAAAAATTTAACTTTTTCGTTAAAAAAAAAAAATTTTTCCGCAATTTTGCAGGACTTCTACAGCTTCGGCACTTACCTCCACACTTTTCAGTAATTCTATTACTATTAGAAAGCTACTCAGAACAGTTAATTTTTTTTCCAAAATTTTACTTTTTCGGATTAAAATTTTTTTTCTGCGCAATTTTGCAGAACTTCTACAGCTTCTGCTTTAGCTGACAATTACAGCTGCAATGCAGTCGGCGCTGCTTTACTCTGCTGGAGATTTATTTTATTGACACGCATCATCTCGGTCGCATCTCCTCACACCCGCCATCACCGTAGAATTCGCTACGTCATCGTCCGACATCAGCGCTTCCACTGCGTACTGTCGGTGAAGCCAGTCGATATGTATACATGGCCAGTATACATGGGCCAGATTATCCAGCGGATTGGCACGATTGGATTCGTCGTGAACCTCTTCCTCTGAATCTGTTGGCCTCTTACGGATCAATCTCCGCTTCCCGGTTCCTAGCCGCATTTACAAAATTCGAGTATACCCTACAATTAAATATACCTAATAAATTTAAAAATCCCAATCAATTTTAGAATAATATTTTATTAGACAGACAGTTTGAAGTAAAGTACTGAAATTTTGCCCCTATTTGTTAATGGCCGAAAACAAAATTTTCATATGTGACACCAAAAAAGTAGTAGTTTTATTTGAATAGTCGTTTTATTTTTTGCATGCTTAAGCGCTTTCTATCAAGCTTTTTACCATAAAATTGACAAGGAAGCTTTTTTTGTGAAAAGACTTTCGT